TTGCTTCAGAAGCGAGGCAAGAATCCTTCCTAGCCTCGGAAAACAAAGAATGGTGGAACAGGCCAACAGGTGTGCGTCATATGAGAGGCCCCGCCTTAAATGGAGCGCGATTTCCGCCAAAGATTTGGAAATTGGTCCGTGCGCAAAGCATTGTGGGGATTTTAAGACCGCGGAGTCCACACATTTGCAGCCTCGACATTTCTCGCCACGAAGTACGTCGGCCTCGGTAGAATTCCAAGTATGCTGGACATTGGAACAGTCCTTCGGCGGCACTCGATGACGTAGTATGCTTGAAATAGTGGCTCTGGAGCAGCCTTCCTCGACATTGAGAAACACCCTCTAATTCTAAAGTCAAAATCTTAAATCGCAGCATTCATACAAATATTACAGAAAATCATAAATCAATCTACAAATAATTGATAAATTGTTCCTCATTTATCAAAAGTAAAACGTTCTTTAGTTCCTGTTCTTCTATTGGGATTATTCACGGCTTTTCTCCGTTTTACATCACTTCAAACGTTTAGAAAATGTAGAAATTGGAATGGGAATTTCTTTGACACTTTGCTATACTCTCTATTATCAGCACATCATAATCATAATTAAAAATAGTGTTAGAGTTTGAGGATAAATAGTGGAAAAATGTGAGGAAACTAAAAAGCTGTCTACATCTTGGGGGTGCTGTTCAGATGGTGCTCTACGTTTAGTATAAGCTCTCAGATAAAGTTAAATATTAGAAGTCGTGTTTTGTATGAAGGCAATAAACAAGCTGTAATGCACATCATTTTCTGTAAACAAGTGTTATCTCCAAACGTTGGGATGATTTTAAAGGCTGAGGATCTGTTTGTGTGCTACACAGCAGAGCCTCCATGTGACACTGATGGAGGCTGTCAGTCCCACGCCGCTCGCTCCGCCAGTCCCCGCCGCCACACCGGCCCCTGCTGGCCTTTGGCACCTCATTTCCATGGCATGCCAGCTGAAGGCAAATATGCCAACCTACTCTGCTTTGTATGTGGGCCCCAAATCCTCCACCGGATTATCTGATTGTCTCCTCGCAGAGCCATTTGATTTCTTGAATGTTCATATCGAGATATCGATACGATAACGATATATCGTTCAGCCCTAGTGCCCTCTGTGGACGATCACGGTGGCGTGCGTGCGGGCGAGCGTACGCTGAGTGTGTGCCGCCGAGGAGAGGGAAAAAGGAGAGCAGATCACAGAGCAGTTTGCCAGTTAATAGATGAAGAGCAGACGAGAGGGGAGTGGGAGGAAAGGTGGAGACGGCGAGAGAGAAGATGATTAAAAGATCTTGTGGCTTTTTGTCAGGCTACAGCCGTAACCCTCCCTCCTTCATTTTCTCTTGATTGAGAGGAAGAACAACATGTGATCCCACACACCTCCTTATGATAACTGGTTATTTTGAAGGCTATTGGATGCAACTTAGACGAGATGAGGAATATGTATTCTATTTAAAGAGGAATGTCTGCGTCCCATGCATTGAGCTGCTGACAGTTGGTGTTTTATTGGCACAGTTTTCTGTGGCGCTCCACACTGGCCTTGGGTTTTTCGCCTAAGAGCAAGCACTTTCTCGCTGCAGGGGAGATGACATTCTAAATTCCCAGAGAATCTGAGTCTTGAGGCAGGTTTGACATACTTTACCAGACACAATGTGTCCTGGAGAAGGGCCCCCGTGGGCTCCCTCACAGGGTTCCTGGAGACCCTTAGGCAAAGTAGAAAATAGTTTTCAAGTGAAATCTTAATTTCATCATGATTTAATTTGGGGTTAAGGCAGACAGGGAAAGTTAAAGGGATGCTCCTGACCATTTTAAATAAATAATGTCACTGCATTTGGCCAAGACTGAGTGCTGACTGAAGCTTCATTTAAATATTAACTTGCAGAAGCATTGAAAGTTTAGTGGACAGAAAAATACTGGGACTCTACTATTGATCATTTATATTCTAACTTTGCTTTAATGTTTGGTGTTTGCTGCTACATTTATCTAACGGCTTTAATTACTAGTTATTTTGCAGATTCAGTCAACAATACATGTAATAAATATTCCAGATATTATTCTATAACTAAGGGCGTGTGGCTACCGAGGGTGAAATTCTCACGCTACCCAGTGTTTAAAGTAATATATAAAATCATTTTAAAAAGCTACTTGTTTACCAGCATAAACATTGAAACAGCAAAAACCCATTAATACATCATCATTTGTTGGTCGAAACAAGATGTTCTCTCATTTGATCCTTATCTCATAAGCTCCAAAAGGCTTGATTGTATGAGTGCTCTTTAATACTTGTGATTTGTTCCTACCCGAGAGATAAGAGAAAATAAAAGAACATTAGTGAATCCTTGACATCAATAAGTGCTAAAAATCTGTGGATGCCTTTTTAAAAAAAGAGGAAATGTGTCCTTATATCGCATACTGCAAGAGGCTGAGGAAAAAATGCTTAATCAGTGTTTTGTTTCCCCGTGCCTACACATTGCGTGCTCACCTAATCTGCTACCTCACACACACTTTCCCACCTCACTTAGCAGCTGTTGTTTGCCTGTTTGTGTGTGGCTGTGGTGGGTGTGTGTGTGTCCTTGTGTTTGCCTCACCAGCAGGCCGTGGATGTTTGCAGAAGAATTGAGTTTGGCACAATGCTGCGTGTTTGTCCCATGTGGACGGGCCGGAGAACAGGGCGGTGTGCAGACCGATCAACAGGCTCGTGCTGCAGTTAGTCACAGCGCAGGCTTCTCTTAATCCTCCTTCCTTTGTGTGTCAGTGAGAGGTGCAGTGGTGTGGAAACGTGTCATGTGCTGTTGTTGTTTGGTTGATGTTTCATCGCTTACTGTTGACATTTGAACCACCACTTTGTTGGCAACCACTCTGCAACATAGTGTATAAATGCTCAGTTGGTACATCGTTTATAAAAAGCACAGCATTTAAGGACTGGCATAAAGGATCATCTCTATGTGGAAATATGAAATACTTCATTTACAACTTTCTTTCTATGCCTCAACTGAACATTTTGACGTTAATACAAGTAATCTGTGATTTTGAAACCATTGTAGTGCATTGAGATACTTTAAGAGAGATTTCATTAGGGCTGTCGGAGTCATATCATGCTTCAGGATTGTTTTCAATTCATTGCAATGTATTGCGATTCTGTAAGCAAGGCGTTATTAGATCTAACTTTAGGGAAACTGTCATAAGTATAAATAAATAAAATAAATATATAAATACAAGAACACATCACCAAATGCATACATTTTCTTTGTTATGCAATCAGAGCAATGTTACATCCAACATTGTATCAAACTTTGTTCTCCAATCCAAATACACATTTGCCCATAACAGCAAAGAATGAAACAATAAATACATTAAAAAGGGCTTACAGAAGTTTTAAGATAAAAAGCATATACAAGTAAAGTAAATACAAATTGTAAACAGATTTGAATTGATAAAGTGTCACCCAACTTGATATTGTGATAATCAAGGTCAGGGCTGCACACTTTAGGAAAAATGTCTAATTGTAATCATTTTAACTCGCATCGCAATTGAGATATGCTTCCCGATATCAGAAGGAATGATCATTCTTGAGACAATATTCACATTATCTTTGAAAGAATATATTGAAATGAGGATCTGTGCCAAACAAAGTGTAATAACCCTGTAGAATACTGTTGTAAGCAGCACCACAATACTTAATTCATAATGATATTTTCACATAATTTGTCTCCACAAATGTTGTTTACTGTAAACTGAACATGCACTAGTCTATAAACTATATTGTGATTTCCAAACCGTTTTGAATAATGGTGCAGCCCTACTCAAGTGTAGTGATATTTCCCTACACTGCTAATTTATCAAATGGAACATGTTGTCCTCTATCATTTAGCATGTGACAGTTTTAATGTCAACAGCTGGCATGTCTGCTAATCTGTTAAGCAATCAGCTGACACACACACAGTATCATACCAGATTTGAATCAATTCTTAACAAATGTGATTGTAGTGTGTGTGTGTGTTCTGCGTGCACTTCTGCATGCTGAGCCACAGATGGCAGCGCTCCACCTCACGCTTCCAAGTGCCCTGTGTGAATGTGTGGTGTCAGGTTTTCTTTGCGTGTGAGAGGAGAACGGTAGACTGCAGTTCTGTTGATGTCTGCACAATGCAACAACATAGTTTGTCTCCCTCTGTTGTCCTCTGTGCCTCACTTGCTTTTTCCTTCCCTTCCCTTGACGTTCTTTCAACCATTCCGCCCCTTTTCCCTCCATTAATACAACGTCTTTACAGCTTGATTGATCATCTTATACGTTCTTTGAATGCTAAGACATAGCTTGACATCTCATCATTCTCACCCCCAAAAAAGGGTTCATCCTTTTGAATTGAGCCTTAAATAACAACACGTCTTTCTAACAGAAAATACCAAATTCACACTGAATTCCTTAAGGTTGAGCAACATTTTCTTTTAAACGTGTGACAGAATTGTACTTAACCTTGTTTTCATCAAATTTCTATCGCTTTTTTTTATTGCATTAGTGAAGCCTAAAGACTGAATATATTCTCACACTGCTCGACTATGTATTTCTCTTAAAATTCCTGTGTTCTGAAACTTAAAGGTCCCATGTCATGCTTTCCCGGTTATTACCCGTCCCCTTGTGTGTTATGAAGGTTTTTATGCATGTAAACGGTCTGCAGAGTCAAAACCCTCAAAGTACACCCTGTAGCGAGTAAAACTCTAACACAGAAAATACCTCCCCAAAACGCCTCGTTGGAGATACGTCACTGTCCATAGAATCTTCCGGGTACCGCATGATATGCGGTACCCGGAAGATTCTATGGACAGTGACGTATCTCCAACGAGGCGTTTTGGGGAGGTATTTTCTGTGTTAGAGTTTTACTCGCTACAGGGTGNGTTTTCATAGACCTGGTTGCTTATTTCTCTCAAATCTGGCAACAGAGTGGGCAGGGCGCAGTGTCTAATAGTAGCATTAAGCTAACAAGAGGCTACGTTCAGCTGGTGACTCGGGAGTCGGGACAGAGAAAATGTCAGGAGTTTGGAAGTATTATAAAATTGAAAGCGAAGGCAGTGTAACAGCCAGATGCAATGTTTGCAAGGCGGAGGTTACATTTTTACAGGTTGTTACGACCCTGGGTCGTTAGGTCATTTGTGTGTACATTTTTCCCTCCTCCTGTGTCTGTGAGAGTGTGTGTGTGTGTGTGTGTGTGTGTGTGTGTGT